AAAAAAAAAAATAGAAATCCCTTGATTAATAAATTATTTGCTTAAGATATAGTCAGGCATAACTTAAAGGTTATGGGTATACCCAGCCAATCCTAAGGGAATATTATATGGTAGTATTAATATTTCTATGGTGAAGGGGAAACACGAAGAGGAAGTATATCAATACAATATAAATAATGTATTTAACATTGATAGTTTTACCTTTATTAGGTTCAATAGTTTCAGGTTTCTTTGGAAGAAAAGTTGGAGTTAGTGGAGCACATTTAATAACATGTACTTCAGTAATAACAACTACATTTTTAGCTATATTAGCTTTTTTTGAAGTAGGTTTTAATAATATACCTGTAACAATAAATGTTGCAAGATGAATTGATGTAGAATCACTATATGTATTATGAAATTTTAGATTTGATTCATTAACTGTTTCTATGTTATTACCTGTATTAATAGTATCTAGTTTAGTACATGTATACTCTATAAGTTATATGAGTCACGATCCTCATAATCAAAGATTCTTTAGTTATTTAAGTTTATTCACTTTCATGATGATTCTTCTTGTAACAGGAAATAATTATTTAATAATGTTTGTTGGTTGAGAAGGTGTTGGAGTTTGTTCATATCTTTTAGTTAATTTCTGATTTACTAGAATAGCAGCTAACCAAAGTTCTTTATCAGCATTATTAACTAATAGAGTAGGTGATACTTTATTAACTGTAGGTATGTTTGCTATAATATGATCTTTTGGTAATTTAGATTATAGTACAGTGTTTGCATTAGCTCCTTATTATAATGAAAATCTAATAACAATAATAGGTATTTGCTTATTAATAGGTGCTACAGCTAAAAGTTCACAAGTAGGTCTTCACATCTGATTACCTCAGGCTATGGAAGGTCCTACACCTGTATCTGCATTAATTCACGCTGCTACTATGGTTACTGCTGGAGTATATTTATTAATGAGATCTTCACCTTTAATAGAATATAGTTCAACTGTACTAGTACTTTGTTTATGATTAGGTGCTATAACAACAGTATTTAGTTCTTTAATTGGTTTATTCCAACAAGATATAAAAAAAGTTATTGCTTATTCAACTATGAGCCAATTAGGTATGATGGTAATAGCTGTTGGTTTATCAAGTTATAACTTAGCTTTATTCCATTTAGTAAATCACGCTTTCTATAAAGCATTATTATTCTTAGGTGCTGGTTCAGTTATACACGCAGTAGCAGATAACCAAGATTTTAGAAAATATGGTGGTTTAAGAGAATTCTTACCATTAACTTATTCAGTAATGCTGATAGCTTCATTAAGTTTAGTAGCGGTACCTTTCATGACTGGATTCTACTCTAAAGATTTTATTCTTGAATCTGCATATGGACAATATTACTTATCAAGTACTATAGTTTACTTTGTAGCTACAATAGGTGCTATGTTTACTACACTTTATTCAGCTAAAGTATTATATTTAACATTCTTAACTAATCCTAATGGTCCTTTAGTTAGTTATAAACATGCTCACGAAGGTGACTTATTCTTGACTATACCATTAATTATATTAGCTATTTTTTCAATCTTTTTTGGATACTTAACTAAAGATATCTTTATAGGATTAGGAACTGGTTTCTTTGTAGATAATAGTTTATTTATTCATCCTAGTCATGAAATAATGTTAGATACTGAATTTGCTGTTCCAACATTCTTTAAATTATTACCATTTGTATTCACTGTATCATTAAGTATACTTTCTGTGTTATTATCAGAATTCTTACCTAAATTACTTATTAACTTTAAATTCTCTAGATTAGGTTATAATATCTTCAGTTTCTTTAACCAAAGATTCTACATAGAATTATTCTATAATAAATATGTTACAGAAGGTGTTCTAAAATTAGGAGGTCAAACATCTAAGAGTCTTGATAAAGGTTCTGTAGAATTATTAGGACCTACGGGACTTGAAAAACTTTTCGTTCACTTAAGTTCTAAATTAAATGAACTAAGTACTGGTGTTGTGACTACATACGCCTTATATATATTAATAGGAATGTTATCTTACTTAGCTTTCCTTTACTTTAACCTTGAATTTGATTTCTTGTATCTTTTTATTATTTCTCTGGCTTTAATTGCAACTCATCCTAACGATGTTGTTTCACAAAAAAAAGTGTAGACTCTTTTACAATATAGAAAAACATAATCGTACCTAATTCAATTTAGGTAAAATTCAATATAGTTAGTTAAAAATAACTAAATTATAATAAATAGTTAATTATAAATTTTATTATCTATTTATAGTTTGATAAAATAAATTGGATTGTTAATTAAAGATTTCTTTTTTAACAATTATTATAATTAAAAAAAATTTTTTTTTAAGTAAATACGAATAAACATTGTGAATTAAAAAATGGTAGTAAAAAAATCATTTTTAAAGATATTAAATTCATATTTAATAGGTTCTAATTTAGGTTGCTTTTTCAAGAAATTTATCAAACCTTCAAAAAAAGATCATATTTTAAAAATACAAAGATTTATTTAGTAATAATGGAACTTTATTAGTCCATGATTTAGATCAGGATTTTGTGACGCTGAGGGGTGTTTTCATTACTCAATTACAGAAAAACCTAATCTAAGCATAGGTTGGTAAACAAAACTTATGTTCTCAATTTATCAACACGAAAAATATTATCTTTGTAGATATCTTTTTCTTAATGAGTACTAAATACCATTTAACTACAAGGGATTTCCATAAAATTCTATCTTAAAAAAGGTTTAAACTTAGGATTTAATGAGTTATTGACAAATCATTTTCCTAATATTGAACATACAAATAAGTCTAAAATAGAAAATCAAAGTATCCCTCACTAAGATTCTGGGTTTGTTTCTGGAAAATGGATTTTTCATTATAAACGCAACAAATCTTTGTTAACAATAAAATACTTATATTAAGTTTATAATTTAAAATTACTCAACATATCATAAAGATTTAGTGGAAAGTTTTATTCCTTATTTTGGTTGTGGAAGTAAAAATTTAAAAGGTGAAAGTACTATTGACTTCATATGTATAAAATATGAAGATTTAATAGAAAAAAAAATTATTCCATATTTCAACAACCATAAAGTTGAAGGGGATAAAAACAAATTCTATCTGACGTTAAGCTGCATAAATTTTAAAGAACGTTTAACTGAAAACGGTGTAGAAAAATCCTTGAACTAAGTCAAAAATGAAATAAAAAAGGGTTTTCCTTTTGGTTTTCGCTGGGTGGTAGGGGGAGGTGGTTTTTATGGTTTATAAAAAGGATTAGTTACTTTAAGTAATAGTATAGGTAATTTAAGTACAGGTGTTGTAACTATTTATACCTTATACATATTAATAGGTTTAATATTCTATATTACTTTATTATATATCTCTTATAATAATAACAATTTATTAATTTTAGTAATTTTTACATTATTCACATTATTAAATAATAATAAAAATAAAAATAATAAATGTTTAATTTTAAATATATTCTAACAAAAAACTTCGATGCTTTTATCTTCAATATTTTGTCTATTATTATCTAACGCCTTGTCTTCTAGACGTGATACTACAATTTTATATGCTAGAACTGGAATAATAATATTATTCTATTGTATATATTTATCTTATAATAATTTATTTATAACATATTTAGATAATGGGATAGGGTTATTTGGAGGTTTATTTTATACATCCTCTGTAACACAAATATTTCACATGTTAATATTTATTATTAGTTTATTAATATTAAATATGACAGGATTCTATCCTAGAAAACTTGTATCTAGTGAATATATGAGTTTACATAAATTATTGTTTACAAAATTACAATTTTTAAAAAACTTAGCTGTATCTAATATTATATTAAAAAAAGGAGAACAATACACAATATTAGAGTATACATTAATGTTATTATTTGTAATAATAGGAAGTGTATTATTAATATCAAGTAGTGATTTAGTTTCTATTTTCTTATCTATAG